CATTATAACCCGCATCATTTTTTTTTGCAATAAATATTTGTTAGAATTTTTTCTGTCAAAACTTTTTATTAAATTAAAATTTTTTTAGCGCTTTATTTTTGGAAAATATTTTCTGTATATTTTTTTCTTAAGGAACACTTAGGAATTATTTTGATAAAATAAAATGAAAAAAAAAAAAAACTTTTTACAGCGTCTAAAGCATACATTTTTCTTAACTGAACCCCCAACCATAATCGCAGTGTTAAGGCAAACACGCAACATATATATGTATATATGTGTATTCCATATGCATTAAAATATATATATATATTTATAAAAAATGTCTGTTTACAAAAACTTGTTCATTGGTTGCTGTGTACAGAATATTAATAAAATGGGTTTTGTTTTTCATAACCACTACATAAGCAATAAAGTAAATAAATAAACAAAAAATCAAAAGTAAAACAATAACAATATCGAATTGTTCGATTGCTTGAATAAAGAATAAATGAATTGGAAAAATTCAACGGTAAAAAGAGAGAGAAAAAAACAAAAAAAAAAAAAAAAAAAAAAAGCGAAGCATATTAAGGTAAAAAAAAAAAAAAAAAAAAAAAAAAAGACGCGAAAACTCACGCGCACACGGAAACACTCATCTACACATGTAATGTACTCGTATGCACTGTTGCTGCTGATGTTATCTGCATTCTTCTATGCTTTGTACGCGCGGAAAACAAAAACAACAACAACAATATCAACAACGACAATACAATATCGCATTTATAAGCACGTTTGCAAAACAATGTATTGAGCATACACATATACATATGTATGTATGTGTGTATGTACGAGTATGTATATGTAGTTGGTGTGTGTGATCCATTACGCTTTGTCAGCGTTGTGTTGATATTGATTGTAATGTTATTGGTTTTTGGTTTTACGGGCAAAACATAGAAATGCAATTACATCCGCTTTTCATCGCGGCACAACGTTCGTTCGCATTCGCTTTAACTGCACGCGCTTGTGTTTGACGTACTGCGGTCAGGCACACCCACTAACACACACTGTGCCATACATTGTAGTGGCAGTGGCAGCAGTAGAACGGCAATAGTAGTAGTAGATTATACAAACAACTCGGCCGCCCACACTGAAGTCTACTTGGGAGAAGTGCAATAAAGCGGAATTATTTAATATGCAATATATATTGTATATTTGTATATATTTTATTTTATAAAAAAAATACTTGTACACACACACACACATGTACTTCAAAGGTTTTTATAAATGCATGTTTTTTTTTATACTTTTAACTCATACGATTTGATATATGATCTATTTGTGCTTGCCCTTAATTTATTTGCTTTTGTATTCATTTATCTTTTCCATGAAATTTACCGTTATTCACGCTTTTTCACTTCATTGTTTTCAATTAAAATGTTCACTGATTAATTTCGCGTTGCGGTTACTCGTTGCGATATCCGTTGCCTTTCAATTTACAAAATTCAAGGAAAGTTGTGGCGTCGTTAAATAAGGATCGTTGCGCTAATGACATTTTCTGAGGGAAATCAATGAATAAAAAAGTAAAAAAAAAAAAATATAAATAAAATAATAAGTAACAGTTAAAATAAAATAAAAATTAAATAAATTAAAAAATGTAAGAAAAAAAATTAAAGAGGAAATAAACTGCATAAAATAAATAAATGGTTTAGTAGTTAAATAAACAAAAAAAAAATTTTAAAAAATTAAAAGAAAAAAAGTTAAGAAAAATTATCAAATATGCAAACGAATAAAAGATTGAAAATTAAATGCAATACAACGAAAAAAAAATTAAACAAAATTTAAAATATACAAATTAATTCAAAGTTAATAACTTAATATATTCAATTAAATGAACTATAGGTAACACAAAAACATAAAATATTCACTAAAATAAATAAATAAGTAGAGAGAGAAATGGATAAATGGGAATGTAAATAAATAAATGAAAAAAATGTTAAATCTTAATTTTAAATAAACATGAATTATTTGTTAACACATAAAGAGAGTAACATTTAAATAAAAAATTTAATAATTATACAAAAGCAAAATATTAAGAAAGTAAGTAAATATAAAAATATATGGAACATAAAAACAAAATATAATAAAAAAATAATCTTTAATAAAAATGTGTATGAATATTTAACAAAAATATCTATATATGGTTAACAGAAAAGGAATAAAATAAATACAAAAAAAATAAATTAAAATAGAATTAAATTGCAAAATATACAAAATAAACGAAAGTTAACAAATTAATATATAAAGTTAAATAAATAATATGTAACATAAATTTTTGAAATAGATTTTGAAGAATAAATAAGAATAAAATACTGATACAAAAGTTTAAAAAAAAAGATTAACAGTTTACAAAAGTAATAAAATTTTTATGAATAACTAAATAATGATTAAAATGATAAATAAAATTGTATATGTAAAAAACAAAAGTAAAAAAATAAAAAAAGAATAGAATAAAATTTAGAAAAAAGGAAAAAAATTAATATTAAAAAGTATATATAATTGGCGCTTTAGAACCGTTATTTTTCGACCGAGCATTTCCTCCAATTTGTAATTATGAGTATTGGTGTTTTTATTACTAATATTAAGCAGTTAAGAGATAAAAACGTAAGAAATAAAGATGTAATTGAATCAAAAATAAATTGAAAAATTAATTTAATAAAAAAGCACAAAAAAATTAAAATTTATACAAATATTTGTTAATAAATAAATAAGTAAAATATAAATTTATAATTTAATTAATTAGAAAATAAATAAGTGAGTTAATAAAAAGAGTTATTAAATAAAAGCAAAAATTTAAATAAACAAAATAATCTTAAGTTAACAAATTAAGTGAAAAACAAATGAACAAATTACACACATTATTTAAATAATTGTATCAATGAGAAAGAGAGTCCTTATATAAAAAAAAACCAATACAATAATATGTAAAAATTTAGTTAACTATTAGACAAACAAAAAAGTTATTAAATAAAAAAAAATGAATGAAATGGAGAATAATTAAATAGGTGATTAAATAATTCAATACAACAAAATAAATAAAGGAAAAAAATATGAAAATAAATAAAAAATTCAAAAAAAAATTATATACAAATAATTAAATATTTATTTTTATTTATATCAAATATAGCTTACAACATAAATCTTATAAGCTATTTGTTTGAGAGCTATAGCAACTAGGCCTTAAGCTCAATACTTATTTACATATTTACATTTTTAAGTTTAGATTCCTTTTGCTTAAATCTTATGAGAGATATTTGTTCTTTTGAAAAAGTTTATTATTAAAGGGATTGATTCGGCTGAGGGAAGTGAGAGGTAAGAAGTTGGACTTGTGTTAGTAAAAATTCGTTCTCTATGGATGGCATACAGCGGGCACATAATTCGAAGATGGTTAACTGTGACTATGATATTTGTGCTGCAAGTACAGTACATAGGGGTTGAGTTGTTCATAAGATACCCATGTGTTAGTTTAGTGTGTCCTAGCCTAAGGCGATCGAAATAATGAAATATTAAATGCCTGCGTTTGGTGCATTTGTGAAATATTCTCCCCTAGAGATATCGCCCTTTGCAAGAAATGCCCAGCTATAAAACATAATTATGATTTTTGACATTTGTATAATTTGTATATTTATGAATATATGAATGCATTTATTTATCCACTGCCCAATACAGGCGGGGAGCTCTTGTATTGACACTTAGAAGCGCTAGAATATCTCAAGAAAAAGAGTCTTTATTATCTGACTAAGCTTCTTTCAGCGCATGCTGTGTTTCATATTTGGTTGTGACTTTCGTCGATCCGCATGCAAAGTATATGCAGACCAAGTATTATTTGGCTGTTGAGATATTCATCACAAATCAACAAAGATACAACAAAGATGAAGACAAAACATAAAACTATAGGAATGCTGCCATCTTCAGAGGTTTGGAAAAAGTGATAGATTTTGAAAATGAACTGTTAAAAAAATGCTCAATATTCTGCAATGTTTAGGCATTACAGCTTTTCAGTTTAGTAAGAGAAGCAGAAACCAGTTACTTTACATAAAAGTGATATCAGGAGACATGGTCAGTGCGCAACTAGTTGACAAGCCATACCTTTATATACACATAATGATTATTCAGTTATAAGCGCCGATGAAAATGGTTGCTAGTGTAGAGGTGAATAGAGAGAGTAGTATGAATATTGAGCTCACCTCCCATAGCTTTACCAACTCATTTAGTATCTACCTTTGTAAATTTTTCCTTGAACACGAGAAAACTATTTGAATTTTTCAAAATTTCTTAAAATTCTATTTTATTTTAATTCAGAAGCAAATTAAACTTAACAAAATTATTCAAGTAACAAACTGAAAAACTTTCTCTTCTTCTTAATTGTCGTAGTCAGCAATTTTAATAGCTGAATCAATAATAGTACGCTAGTCCTTGTGTCCCTTTCAATCTTGTATGCTTCCAAGAAAGCGAATGTCTTCTTCCACCTCTACTGCAGACGGTGTGTACTGCACTGAGCACTTTTAAAACTGAATTGCTTACATCTATACGGATTACATAACTTAGCCAGAATCATAAGTCTTCTGGAAAAACGTTCTCTCCGAAAACTCCGGGTTTTATTAATCCAGAGTAGACTTTAATTTTCAATTGCCCATCCAGCCGAAAGTAAAATCTGGTGGCGAGAGTGATTCTACAATGAATGTTAAGGCTGATTTTCAAATTTATTACTGTATACAGTAAGCCAAGACGTAAAAGGGGCGTCAATATACTCGATGTCACTACACAGTTTTTCAACAACAAAAGAATCAACCTTTCAATATTTTTCTTATATTTTTTTTGTAAGAATACTCGTTTTAGCTATCATTCTTTCAGTAGAAATCCTCCAACTTTACCAGCAAAGGCAGCTGGAATATTTTTATTCGTATATGAATGTGTAAGTGTGGTTATAAGTAATATTATTATTAAAAGAAAATACAAAAACTTACCTTATCGAAATCTATGAGATTTTTCGGCACTAAAACGTCTATCAAGGAGTCTAAGGGACCAGAAACTATTCTACCGTTTATATACATAATACCACCGGAACCCAGCACGGAGCTCTGTAATTGAAACAAAATAAGTACTCAAGATATTAAATATAGTATATATATGCACGTTTTTTAGGCGAATTTATTAAGTTTTTCTAATCAGTGAAATGCATTACAAATACAAATTCATTAAGGCGCCGAAGTTAAGTTAAATTTCGAGTTGAAGGCGTAAATACATGACGAAATTGAATTTCATGTTTCGGAAGCTTATGTGTAGATAAATATTATATATACCTAGTATATAATATATATACAGTGAACTTCTTACAAATTTATATTTTGCTTTTCTAAGGTCTTCCCTCGCGTGTTGTCGCCTTAGTCAAAATAAAATACAATTAAATCTATCCTTTTGAGAGAGCAAAATTTTGAGCAAGGCAGTTATTATTGAGATCTCAAGCTTTGTGTTTGCGAAATTCCCACTCAATCCTGTTTCATCTCTTATTTTTATTCCTTAACTAAATTTACATTTCTTTATATTGTTTTGCGTTGCGTGGTTATCTATACATGTACATATATACCTACATTTTTTGACAGTGTCTTGATTTTATTATTTGCCCAGCATAAACTTGACTCGATTCGTTTTAATGTTATTCAAGATTTTCCGAAACTAACCAATTCTAGTGTTTTTTTTTTTTGAAATTATGCTTTCATATTCAAGTAATATATTATTTAGTTTTTATTTGAAATTGACCATTAATCGTGATAAAAAAAAATTCCAGATAAACTGAAAATATTAAAAAGAGATTTTGACTTTGGCAACGTTGTATTTTGGAATTTGAAGAGAAAAGGGAGAGGAAAGTGTCATCGAGATTTTATAAAAATATTGAAAATTTCGGAAAATTTACGAGTTATTTTCTGAAACTTACAATCCGAGGGGAGACCACCTTAAAAAAATGAATTTAAAATTAATTTTTTATAAGTAAAGATAAGCTCTACCCCTGACTGTGTATAGATATTACAATCATATTGTTTGAGTTAAAGAATATTTATATATATATATGAGGAATTGAAATTTTAAGTCTTTTGAACAAGGAAGGAAAATTTTGACACTATAATATAAATTAAGGTCTAAGCGTGATATCTTTTTTAAAATTAGTTATTGAAAGAAACATTTTTTCTTATTCTTTACTGGCGAAAAAACCTCTTAGGCGATTGTAGTCGTATTAAAAACAGAGCGTCATACCGTGCTTCTTCTCGATATGTGCCACCAATTGAAAGTATCAAGTGCAACCATGCTCCACGCCTCCACCTGATTTTTCTAATAGAGCTTTTATCTCTTTTTTCCACTGGTGAGTACTGCATTGAAAACCTTCAAAGCTTTGCTATTCTCATTCATATAGACTACATAATCTTGAGTAAAACCCTCCACTCAAAAATTCCCAACTTCGGCTTATCATACATATGTAGTCATCGTCCATGCCTCCGCACCATAGAGCGGGACGAGAACGATGACTGAAGACTGTACCCTCTCCATTCAGCTGTGCTGCTCTTATTATTCTCTCCAGCATGAGATTGATTAAATCACTTGACAAAGTGTCACCCTGTCTGAAACTTCGTTTGGTACCGAACGGCTCGACGTCGCTTTTGGTAGTTTACTTAGCCGTAAAAGTTTAGCGGGCTTACTAAATTCAGACATTGCAGCTCAGGGGCAGCTCCTATTCGTGCTGTCAAGGCTGCCAAAGATATGCTGTGTATCGATTCACTTTTCATTTGGTTCGCTATCTTCTGGTGTTTCTCTCTCACTATCATTTAGCAGGCTGAAGAAGCGTTCCCTCATAAATTTAATATATTCAGGACATCAGTCGCTGAAAAACTTCTTTCGGTCCTACATGAGTTAGCTCCGGTATTGAAGCCATCTGTAAATACTTTCTTAGAATTTTCGAGCGTTAGCGCTTTCGGTTAGTTTCTCAAGCTCATCTTTCTAACATATCGCCACCTCTTTTTGTTTTCACTGCAGTACTCGGTATCTATCCCAGCACCCATCCCCATTGAAACAGCTACTTTTTGGAGACTTCCGATAACCAATAGCTTTATAGCTTTGCTTTCAGCTGTACGTTGAAAGCTAGAAATGGCATCCCAAAGTGCTAAAGTGAGATGCTGATGAGTGCTCTCTGAAAGCAGAAGTGTATGACGAGTGGACAATTATTCCGACGACTGGTGTGAAGTCATTTTTTTGCTGCACCAAGGTGTGTGCGTATTTTTGCTGCTAGTAGTCTGATCGATATTGAGCCTCCAGAATGGTCGATCTGGTTGTGAGTTATTCGTTCTGTGGGCGGCCAACTAGCTTCTTCCCCTGGAATCTAATACTACAGGCAATCATATTTCGAGTCGATCACCTCGAACCAATTTAATTTCGGATAGTTTAGCTGAAAGAATATTCATTGCCCACCTTAACATTAAGGTCGCTAAGCAATTTTGTGGCGGAGGCAGCGTGCATGAGTAAGCACCGAAACAGGTGTCCTTGGCATGGAAGCACTGCAGCGATATGTGAAGTAACTGTACTCGGATACAATTTACAGTGCAACGTTCATCAACTACCATAAATCCGATACTAGAGTTTCACTTATTTTTATGACAGTTGTTGTAAATTTCATAAGGACCCATTCGTCTTTGGACATGGCATCGTGCGTCACACGTGGTGGCAACCCTAAGTCAGTGGTACCTTCCCAATTTAGAGATAGCATATTCCCAGTACATGCCCCTCAATCATAAACCTGTCAAAGTTTGTAGTGGATGCCGTATAAGATAGGGTCTCTCATCTGAGGCTCCATATATGAACTCCTCCTGTTGCTGATTAAACTTAAGATTTTCATTTATTCAATTTTACATTTATGTTCTTAACCTTCATTTACTTTAAAACATTAGTGAATTTTTTAAATATGGTATCACTTTAATTTATTTCGTTAAAAGTTTCAAATTTTAACGAAGCGTTCATATATGCATTCATATACTTCATTTTAAATTTAGTTTGTACAGAACGTTTGAAGAAAGAAAAACGAAGAGTAAGTCTTTTGAATTGTTAAAATAGTTCTTTATTTAAAATAATTTGATTTTAGATATTAAAACTGTGCTGTTGATTTGAATGTAAAAACTCAATAAACCGCTTGTTTGTAATACTCGTTTATGTTGATATTCTTTCGAACGTTTATTTGCTGCCGCAACACCTCCATTGGAGCTGGTTTATACGTAGCGCCGGGCAAGTGGGCTTAAATGTTTCGTACCACTGGTGAACAGATGCTGCAATGCGAATTCAGTGAGCCTTTAAATAGAATATAACGGGGAGCCCCACTGAAGCTTTATATCTTTCAGCATCTGCTGCTTGTATTATAGTTGCCTAGTAACTGGACTACGCCCATTTCAGCCAAAGCAGCAATTATAAAAAAAATATATATTTCTTGCTTTTTCTGTAAGCTTTTATCTTGTTTTGGATAAAAAATTGAACAATAAAATTTGTATCCTTTTATTCACGTGTAGAAAGCTCTTTAACCACGCAATAAAGAATTGCAAGTAAAATTATTTATTACCCAAATACATTGTAAGCTACCGTTAAGTACGTTCAGAGTCCTTTCATTACATTATTTTGCATTCAAAAATTTTGTGCATTTAATTTCTCCACTGAACGTTGTCGGTGCTTTTTTGTGGTCTCCGTGTATGTGTTTGTGTGTGTGTGTGTGTGTTTGTAGGTAATTACAATTAATGCATTTTAGTTGAGATTTAATTATGTTTTGTTAAATCTATGAATGAATGCTACATGCATGCATTAAATTTAATTATGTAAATTTGTGCAAAATCTATGTACGCTTTATTGTGGCTTCTATGTGTTTGTGTGTTTGTGTGCATGCATGTCGGCTGTGTTTTTTTTTGCTGTTGAATATCATATTTAATATTTAATGTTCATTTTCATTTCTAAAAATTTTCCACATTACTACCACTACAACAATACTTGTTCGTATGTATATATGTAGTAGTGGCAACAATGGTGAGTGGTATTATTTTTAAGTGCCAATTAAAAGCTTGAAGTTTGCGCTCACTGGTTTACCACTGAAATCTGGTTTGCACCAACCTGGAGTAAGAGTACAATGCAGTTTAGTTAGAAATTTTCTAAAATTACCGCGTACACAAAGTAATGTGGCTTGCAGAAAAAACATAAACAGTTTTCGGTTGGTGGTTTTGTTATTTGATTGCTGAGAAAAAAATAAAATAAATAAAATTAAAAAGAATTATTTGGTTATTTATTTCGTGGTCTCAAAAGTACAGGTCTGTATTTGGAAATCTGTCAAACTTAACTGCCAACCAAATATGTTTTGTTTTAGTTAAAAAATAGGCACTAATGAAAACAAAAACTTCTACAAAAATGGTGAGTTGAACGACTTTTGCTTCAAGTCGAGACTGTGGTGTATATAACCGTCCAACTATCCAAGCAATTGGTAAAATGAAATTGACGAAATTTGAAGAGACTGAGTCGGTTACAAATATTGTTAGGTCTGCCTATCTTCGCTTTACTCATTTTCACATCAAATATCGCTCCTGTAAATGAAAGTGTGGCGGCCGCGGTAGCCGAGTGCTTAGCACTGCGTCCTGCTCTTCGAAAGGCTAAGGTACGAGTCCTGGTAAAATTTAAATTTTGTAATTGCGATAATGCCAACCTCTCCGAGTATATTTCTGACACGAAGTAAGGGCTCCTCATAAAAACCATCAGTCGTTCGGTGACCGCTTAGTATAAACAGCAGGTCCCAACATTTTGTTGAAATGATATCAATATCAAGACAAAAAGTCAAAAATTGTTTGAGGAGCTCGGTTTGAGGAGTAGCCAAAATCCCGAGTATGTCTCGGCGTTCTCTAGAGCTGGTATCTTTTCAAGGAACATTATGTCATATTTTGCTCTTGGACATTGACATAGACATTCATACAAGACTTACAGATCACACAACAGCAGAGGCCAGCTGATCATTCACAATGCCCTCCGTAGATACGTCGATTTGGTGCTTGAACAACAAGCAATAGATAGCGATTTTGTTAAGCGACGAGGCACATTTCATCCGTGGTCAAACGTAAATAAGGAAATTGTTGCATTTTTGGCCCCAAAAATCCTTAGATAATTGAGAACAAGTCATTTCAAGGAATAAAAAAAAGTCATATACAGCTCAGTACTCGGGATAGAAGTTACACATCACAATAGCAATATCGGAGAGAGAGAACGAGATATTCATAGTGAGAGAGGCACACCCAAAAATAACTGCATCGTATATATTTAAAACTATATACTAATTAAATATTTATAATTAATTTATTTCTTCTATTCTATTTTCATACCCTCTTCGTCGGATTCATCAATTTTTACCTTAGATACTATTGGCTTGTGGTAACTAAAATATGATGGCTACTCATTCCGCAATTGAAAGTTTCGAGAAGGAAATTAACCAATGGCCGGCAATCATTATGTTGTAAGTTTGTGTTGGAGTCACTGACAAGGAGCATATGTAATTTATTACTTCTTTGCCAAAGAAAGCAAGACCTTCTCGACTGTGCCCTAGCAGCGAACGGTAATTATTTGTACACCAAACGCTTTACACTCAGAGAGAGAGAGAGAGAAACAGGTCTTTCTGTAGATGTGCATGAAGAGGATTGATTGGCAGTAATATCTATATTCGGTGAATGGTATCATTTTGGTTATGATAAATTGCCACGCAATGGTGTGTGCATATTCCATACACTACACACCCACTCATATGTTAACATGTATGTTCTTTATATGCAAAGGGCCTAAGCTGTTTTTTGGTTTTTTTTTTTTAGCTTAGCTTAAATGCTTAATACTCTCCTTTCTCTTTCGCGTGACAAGGATCTGTTTCCGTTGCCACTCTCACTCATTTTTTATCATAAAATTATAAAACTCTCTCTCTCTCTCTCTCTCTAAATGCTTCCACTCAATCTTTTCTAAGTTATATATATTTTTTTCTCTTTCTCGTGACGAGAATCTGTTTCCGTTGCCGCTCTCACTCATTCTATATCATAAAAAATATAAAACTCTCCCTCTCTCTGTGACAGCGTTGATCCTTTTCTCGCATGCTCAAACTCAGTTTCAAAATCACTCTCAACGCTAGTAAGAAAAGCTTAATTTCAAACAACTTCCATCTGCTGCGCTCTTTGGTCTGGAGGTCTGATTGAACCGCGAGAATATCATTGTCAATTGGGGATGATATAGTCATATGATAACTGATATTTTTGATTTTGCAATTGAAGAACACGACTTGGACAGTAGCTATTTTTAATAAGATACTGCCAGATGCAACACAACACAAGCGAGAAATGTCCCCCATCGCATAATCTCTTGTCTTGGCAAAGTCAATCGGCCACCAAAATAGTGCGATCTGGCAAGGTTGGACCTTTTTTTGAAAGCCAAGTCGAGGGGTCATATGCGAATAAACTTTTTGAGCGCTTGAAAAGCTACATTCGTTAAGTTATGGCTGAGACATCGCACAGTAGGTGCCAAAAAGTTTTCGGAAATTACCTCAAATGAATCGAAGTTTGCGAAACTTCGTGAGGCGATCTTTGGAATGATGCTGTGTAGCGTTGCACACATAATGTCAAGGTTCAAACTTTAAAATAAAGAGAGATTTGCATAAAAACAATTATTTTAAATGAATTATTTTACATTTAATTTCCAAACTGCGAAATGGATAACCCTCTACATGTAGCTTGGTATGACGCATACACGTGGGATTAAAAAATCTGTTAAATTTTTTTTTATTTGTTTTTTTTTTTTTGTAATTTAATATAAATCTTTTTATAATTTTTTATTCAAACAATTTGCGATTTTATTCTCAATTTCCTCGCATTTTCAAACATTTGCGTTTACTAGCGAGTTTATTTAAATCAAAATCATAATTGACATTTATTGATTAAATAGAAAACCAATTTGAATGTTTTGAAATTTGCTTGATTTACACAAATGCCTGGCATTTGAAAAAAAAGAAATATTATTTAAAATTTAATTTCATCAATTTGATTTTGTCCAAATAAATCTGATGAAATTTCCAGACACGCATATGCACATACAGAGGCGACATGCCAATATTTAAATATGCAGGGTTTTAGGTGTTATCCAAATATAAAATATCGAAATCGAATTGTTAGAAATTCCAACAAATTTATATGTACTCGTATGTGAAACTCACCTCGTAATTGATATTCGAATTTGCTCGCTTATATGAATTCTTCGGTATGTCATATTGTACCACGTCACCAGCAGCCAAGCCGGCATTGCCGTTGCTATAAGCGTTGTAGGTGCTTTTTGTTGATTTTGCCAATGAAACCTGTAATTTAATGTAAGAAATACAATATATTTGGAATATTTTTATATTTATATTGCAATAAAGGTGAAATTGGTTAAAAGTGTGAATTGCAAATAACTACCAAAGCAATTGCAAATAAAATAAAAAAATTTATTAAAAAATGCGAAACAATTTTCGATGTAAATAAATACGAAAATATATATTTATTTATGTTTTAAGTATCACTTTGCTTACAAAATGTTTCATTTCCGTAAAAAGCACATATTTTATATATTATTTCTATATTTCCATATTTATTACAAATTTTCAAAAAGTTAACAGCTCTGTAAAGTGATACTTATATTAAAAGCATAAAATATGAAGAAGCTTATTATTTGAGGGCATGCCAAAGGAGGACAGCAGGAGAGTGAAAATCGCTATATTCGTCTCTTCGATAAAGGCTAAAAAGGCGACTGAAATGTGAAAGTTACTAAAGCTATCGACATTGACTTCAAATTTCGCCACGTTGCTTCTGTGTTTTCTGCGAAGATTTACACGGGAAGCCGACCAGGGATTGACTTATTCGAAAAAAAATCCTTTTACGTTTCGAGTTACTTGAAATTCGGTACATAGGTAGCTTTTAATTTAGATTAACAGGAAGACCACATATCCTATTTGGAAAGTCGTACTATTTCTCACTCCGGAAAGTGGACAAATGTCAATAGTGAAACCAAAAATGTTCTATGCCCACAGGTATTGACTAAATAAATATATTAATTTCCCATACATTCAGTGATGATGGGTAACAATGAAGCAGTGGAGGGTACAACTTATCACATATAATTATGTTTTTGTCGATTTGGTTCCGGGAAACTCTACTGTTTGGAAGATCGATTGCCGAAAATGTGGATAAAATAATGGAAATCATTCTGAACATCAAGCGATAAATGCTTCGATTTTTCAGGAGCTCGATGCATGTGTGCCACATGAGTTAAGAAGGAAAATCTCCCCCTAAAGGCAAATATATCGTGATGAAATTGCAGTGAGCCTGCACAAACGATCTCCAAGCAGAGTTCACATCCACTAAGGTTTTGTTGTGTGCATGCTGGGATCGACGAGAAATCATCCACTCTGACCAGTTTTCCTTCGCCGATTTCTACATTCGGACCTGTACAATCAGCAATTGAATCATCTGGAGAAAGCGACAGCCCGAAAGCTCTAAACTTTAGCCAACATAAGCAGATTATGGGTCATTAGGACAATACTAGAACACACATATCGATAGTTTCTCTCCATAAGCTTTAAGAGCTTGATTGGGAGATTTTTATGTACCCGCCTTAAATTTGGGACTGGTTGGGGAAGCACTGGCGTCAAAAGAAAGTCTGCAAAAATCGATTTTCCAAATCTGTTTGCCAATTCGGAGAAAGGTTGCTATATTAGAGGTATAACGGCATTACCTTAATACTTACCAAAAGTAATCAAGCAAAACGGTATATATATATATTTGACAAAAAACGGATACTGCCGCACAATTTAAAAAAAATCCAAATTTAGTTACTTAATATTGATATCTTTTTATTAACAAGTAAGCCCTTTTGACTTTGCCGTTCATTTGATTATTAAGGACCATTTTATTCTGCCAAATTTCAGATATATGAAAATTATTTTGTTTTTGTGGAAAATAAATAAAAAATATCTATATAAATACAAAACGATGAAAGAAGCACTAATAATGTTCAACCAACTTCTGATAGATTTCACAATTTTAAATAAGTAGTCACTGCAAGGTCTGAGGTAGTTTTATTGCCTTTAACATCCTCTGTCCAGGAACTCAAGTAATGTTGACTGTCTTTTTTCAGCATACGAAGGTGAGAAAGTAGTAGTGCCATCCCAAGATACTCTAATATTTCCTTTATAACATTAAGTCATTGTGTTGAAAGCAGTTGAGGCGGCCTCAATAAAACTGCTATACAAAGGACCTTATCCCCGTTAATGTGGTTGTAAGTGTATTCATACTATTTCTAGCTCAATCTGGCCTGTAATTTATTCTCGTCTTGCCTCACTTACGCAAAATCCGTAATCTTAGTACTTTTGTTTTCATCTCTACTAATTTTCAAGCTGCCTACTTTGCCAATTCGCATTCTCTTTTTTTACCGAAAATATTCCAGTAGCCGAAAAAAAATTTATGGAAATATCAACTTAATCCGTCAGTGAGCTCAAAACATTCTCTAAATGGTGATTGCAAGGTCGCCTGGTTGACCAAGTATAATGACGCTTTCTGTGCCGCCCCATAGTTATTCAATATGTCAAGTTCATCAGCTTCAAAAAATTCTACCAGCGCTTGGTATGGCATGCTTTTCACCTATCAAATATCTTTTCCATTCAATCCTAGAGAATATTCCCACTTAAAAGTTACTATTAAAATCAAACGCTGGAAGGATATAACCTACTTTATTTAAAGTTTTTGTTAGCTTGTTTACTGTTATTTTTGGTCAGTGTGTTTTTACATATTTTGTTGAGGTATTCACTGTTTTCATATCCGTTGGGCTGTCTACATGCAGTTCAATAAACTTCCTAGTAAAACGTTTGTTCATTAACGCCTTAAGTAATACCAAAAATCTCTAGTTGGAACATATAACTTTTTTTACTGTATTTGAATTCAACAAAATATATAACCCTTGTGTTTTTTTCATCAAAATCTTGCCAAATTGGAGGTGGATTTCAGCCAAAAATCGCTTCAGTGGTTACAAGGCGCCAAATATATTGTTGCGAAAATGCGAGGCGAATGTCAGATGAAAGAGAGAAGCCGATAACTAGTACATTCTAGAAACGATAAAACAACAACCTTCGATAGCGAACAACTCGATACTTCTACGCTTTCGTCTGCGAGCAGCCGACTGCTATATAAGGGCGACACTCAGCTGCAAGTTAAGTTAGTTATAAAGTGAACTCGTTGGCATTAACATCAGTAAAGTCGCCAAGTGAACGCGTTACATTTAAGTAGAGTAAATTGTGAAGGTTGATGCTAGTGACTGTAAATAGTAAAGTGCATTGTAATTGAATTGTGAATTATGGAGTAAATAAAGGACATTAAATTAATTCTTTATAACGAAAGAAACTGCAAATTAAGTTGGCGAGTTTTATTTAACAATCCAGAGATCGTACCCGAAGGATTTAGAAAATAATCGAGGTTGATTTAGTAAAATCGTAACAATATATATAATCTTGCCTGCTCGGAAAATAGCAGCATCAAACAGAGGCTTACTTCTTTAGATCAGATGGAAAGCTTAGACTAAGATATGTTATATATAACCTTATAAGAACTACTACGTAGGCTGTTAGGGCTGTTTTATACGAGTACATCACTTGCATACTAATTAGTCTTATAGAAAGGAGGAACTACTATTTAGTTCATGATTTTCAATAATTTTTTTAACAATATTCATATATATAGGCTTGTAGTTAGATAGCGATGAAAACCTCCAGTTTTTTCAAATTAAAGAGTGTTTTTTTTTAAGTTTTCAATTTAGATATGCGCTTATCGAAATAAGTTCTATTTCTCAAAAAGCGTACAACAATCTCCACAACATGTTCTTCTCATTTTCCTTTTCCACTTTTTCACTTTGCATGCATATTGGTTTGCGATTTTTTTACCAGTCACATAAATCTATGTGCATAAATGCAGAAAAACTTAACAGCTCAATATATTACAAGTAAAAACAAAAAAATACAAACGAAAAAAGACAAATTGCCCACCAACATTTCAGCAGCAAAACCAACCCGCGAAATTGCATTGCAATAATTTAGTATTTACTAGACCACAAAGTATGCAATTGCTGGGCATTTATTATTTATTTATTTTTCTTTTTTGCGTGTGTGTACGAGTATTTATTTCTATCGGAATAGAAACGAATATTTTTTTTTTCGTTCTTTTTTTAATTTCATGGCATATGATCCCTTTTATGGAGCGCAAATGCAAACGTATTTTGCAACCACTAAATCGAAAATTGCCATTCGGTTTGAAACTTATTTATAGATATTCGTATTTAAGTAAATTTATTTCGAAATAAATAATCAAAGCGTAATTTTCGTATTTTTCCAAACCATATTTATTGCGGTTTCATTTACAATTATTTAATAGTTATTTGATCTTGTGGAAAAAGTGTTAGTAAATGTGCATTGCATGTTTTTTGTATATAAAAGTATATGCATTCAATTTGAAGCCAAAATATTTATTTATAGAAAAAAATAATCAACTGGTCATAAAAATGAGTTTTATTTTTGGTACGAACTGTAACTGGCGTAATGAGATATACATTTAGTGTTAAAAAATTTGAGATATAATTTTTTATTAACGATATTTTGTTGGAATATGAAATTTCCGAGGAAAGTTTATACTTTATATTAATGAAAAAAAAAAATAATAATTTTCTGTTGAGTCAGGATCCGTTGGTTCGATCCCTACCATAAGAAGTGTGATGAGGAGATGTGGTGTTCTTTGTTGTATAACAAAGTTTTCAATTCATACAATATATTCGAAATAATTTCGATGTTCAAAAGCCAAAGCTTCAAGCTTTTTGAAAATTAAAACCAAAATTTTAAAAATTAAATTCGAGACTTCTGAATTGGAAAACAAAATGTGAACGATTTTTTTTAATAATATAATTTTGCTATATTTAAATGTGGTAACCATACAAGGTATCGATTATGATAGGGATAGGGATGTAATTATTTTTAGATTAATCCTAAATTAAAAAAAATATGCATTTTTTAGAAAGTGAAATACTATAAATATAATTAAATTAGTTAAACATATTATATAAAATTAAAAATTTTTAAAGAAAAATACAAAAATCCAATTTCGACGTTTAAAAACGGTGAGTTTAAAGCGATTTTGTAAATTTATTTAAAATATGAAGAAATAAACTGTATCAAGCTACTTAATTGATTACAGTTATTTTCAGTTTCTTAGTATTAGTTTTGCATTTTCGATATTTAGTTATGGTAAGAAAGCTTACTCTAGTACACCAGTGCGTATGCGT